TTTGCAACATCTTCACAAATTCACATTTGAGGACAAAACAATAAATTGAGAAAATCACAAATAGTACAGATGTCCTGTGAATTTGGTGTTTCAATTTTTCGGTTATCAATGGTTTTACCTTTTAGGCCTAGTACAAAAGATATAAGGTTAGATGTCCAAGCAAACAAAATATATTTATATGCTTGGACGCTTTCGAATGTGTTTAAGGAATCCAAGTAATCAAGAATGTGCTGGGAACGCTTTCGTACATGTTTATGGTGACTATGATGAATTTATGAATTTTTCAAACTTAGGATATAATAGTGTGAACTAATTAATTAATTTTTTGATCTACAAGTAATGAATGAATTTTATTTTTTTTATTTTTTTATTTTTTTTTGTCTCTATCCCGCAATTTACAAATTAATATTATGTTAGCATTAGCCGATACATTTATATCCACACAAAATGTAATATCCAAATGAGCTCATCATAATTAGAAAAGCTTGCTTGCAAACTCCTCAATTTTCTCCTCTGCTTTTCTGGAAGAAGAATCGGCGAGATCTCTAACTTGGGACAGGCTCCTTCCCAACTGCAACGCCACCTTCATTTCAAACAATTCTCCATTTTCTCTTATCTCCATATCTTTTCCAGTCAAGTTTGATTCTATGGACTCTTCCATCAGCTTGAAGAATCCGACATTGCTCCAGTACATCTTGAACACCATTCCGACTTGCCTACCGTGCTCAATTGTGTTTACTACACTTGCTAAAGCACCTGCTAACAACTCCGCGCACCACTACCCAAGAGCCATGATTAGGAGGCCCCACAAAGGCAGAGCCAAGTGCTACTAATCCTGTGAGCACAGGACCACCAATGGCTAGAAATTTTTTCAGTTTCAAGGCTTTCCCTCCCAACCTCAAGTAGTCAACTTCGTCTTTATTTCCTATAGCACAACTTATTTCTCTCATTTCCTCCTCCAACATCCCATTCCAACCTTTCTTCCCATCGAGCCCTTTAGCCTGTCTTCGGCGCTGCTCCTGCCACCACACTGTGGGCTCTACATTCTACGGGAATTTCGCGAGCATTGCACCAAGAAGAGGAAGCGGGTAGGCCTTGTCAAGAGCCAACACTTTTTCCATCATTTCCTTTACATCACTAGTTGTAGGATTACCCATCGCTGTTATCGTCTGAATCTGACTGTGAAGCTGCTTCAGCAACCTAGTTGCATTTCTTTGCTCCTCAGCAAGCTGAGATGGTTGAATCTTGTTCATTATGGACAGTATCCCAATTGTTAAAAGATAGATGATGGTGGACGAAAGCTTTAACGTCGGCACCGGAGCACCACCACCAATTACACTTGTAGCTGCAATTCCTGCCATTGCAGCCGTCGAGAGTGTGAGCGCATTAATCAATGTCAAAAGCAGGGTGTTCCAATTATTTCTTTGCTCTCCAATATTCTTTGCATCTCCACCCTATCTGCAACAGCCTCCATGATTGCATAGAGTTTTGCCTTTACCAATGGATCATGACCATTATTATTGTGGAACTTGAACCATTGTTGTATGCTTCCAGAATTTTATGCTATTGAGAAGTCGTGTTTTGTGAAAATGTAACTCTATTAAATTGA